GAGTGTGATTGCCTACTAATATTTATTGTCTGTTAATATTGCATTCGTTTCGGTTGGTGACAAAATTACATACATGTGTGCGATTTATTGGCTGAATTCAATCGATAATAAGTGACGGGCTGATAATCCAGTCATTAATCAGTTGCAACTTCTAATTTAATCAAATTTGGCGGGTTGAAACAATTACTTCCCTCTTTCGGCTCTCTGATTCTCCCTCGGCTTTGGCATCCAACAAAGGTGGCGGCTAAAACAACGATGGTCTGGTGAAGATGGTTCGGTGGTGGCCGCAATTAGGCAGTGATGGCGGAGCGACTGTGATGACTTGACAGTTGACAGTGGTGGTCGAGATGCAGTTGCCCGACAATGGTGGCGCCTTGACAATGGTGGTTTGGCAACATTCAAGTTCGGGATGTCTGTTTGATGGTGGTGGAGCTCGATGATGGTACATCTTGGATCTCCCTTCAGTCTACTCCTCCATATCTACATTTGAAGTCCCCCTTTCGTAAAGGAGGGAGGGTCTATATATAAATTTATTGACCTACATCCTCTATAAGTACCACATGAATTTAAACAACTTCATCAAATGACCCAAAGCAATCCCTTTGTTCAAATGGTAATCTTTGAGCATTTGAATATCTTAATGATGTCATAATAAAGTGATCTTGTTGGGTAATGTGGAGACCAAGTTCATCGCAATTTAATTAGTTTCCTAATTAAGAATCTCACTTACCGCTCGCCTACCTTACCACATACTGCTCACCTACCACAACTCATCTACTGCTCACCGACCTCCCAACTACCGCTATCTTGGTTTCTATAAATAACCTCTTATGGCTTGTCATAAGCCAAGTCATCTAAGAGAGAAAGAGAGGAAGAGAGAGTGTGTGTCAGGAAGAGAGAAAAGAAAATAGAGATTTTTTTATAAACGTCAAGACACTCGACGGTGTAATTCCTCAAAGAAATAAAATCCCCTGCAGCTTCGTGGACGTAGACAAATTTGTCAAACCACGTAAATCTGTGTCGCTTTGGTGTTTTTTTTTTCGTGCAATTTTTTCGTTCCATTTTTAACTTTATTGTCGTGATTTTTCACAACAACTGGTATTAGAACTTTGTTTCGGATCTAAGGAAGAACCATGAGCGGAGATGAAGTGATGGTATCGGGGATCAAGAAGTTCAATGACACAGATTTTGCTTACTGGAGGATGCATATAAATGACTAAAACTATGAGATAAAACTTCATTTTCCGTTATTGGGAAAACAACCAAAAAAGATGGATGAGGGGGAATGGAATATGTTGGATCGGTAGGTTCTAGGGGTTATACGATTAACCCTGTCGAGATCGATTACCAACAACGTCATCAAGTAGAGGACTATTGCATATCTCATCGCGGCTTTATCAATATGTATGAAAAGCCATCGACAAATAAAAAAGTTATTCAACTTGAAGATGGCGAAAGGTGTTTCTATTGCTCAACACCTGAATGATTTTAATACTATCATAAATCAGTTGTCGTCTGTTGAAATTGATTTTGATGATGATATACATGTGCTGATATCATTGGCTTTATTGTCAAATAGTTGAGAAGCCATGAGGATGACAATTAGCAGTTCTGCAAACAAATTTAAGCTGAAATATGATGATATTCATGATTTTATTTTGGCTGAAGAGGTGCGTGGGAAAAATTCTGGCGAGACATCAGGTTTGAGTCCGACACTGATTGTTGATTCCAGAGGGTGATCACATGACATAAACTCAAACAGATGAAGATCAAAATCAAAGTCTGGTCAGCAAGCAACCTGCTGGAATTGTGGCAAGACTGATCACATAAAAAAGAACTGCATCAATCCTAATAAGAAGGAGAATAATGAAGCTAATGTTGTAACTGAAGAAATACATGATGCGTTGTTGCTAACAGTTCATAGTTCTGTTGATGACTGGATACTGGATTCAAGGGTTTCCTTTTATACATCTTTCTGCTGGGAGTTAATGCGAAATTATGTTTCTGATAATTTTGTGAATGTATATCTGGCTGATGCGAAATTATGTTGATGACTGGATACTTGTTTTTTTTTCGTGCAATTTTTTTCGTTCCTCTTTTCGTTTTGTTGTCGTCGTTTTTCACAATAGATCTTACATTCGTTGGATTCTGCTCGACGAGATGCTCGATCTGACTATAAATTTGTTATCTTTGGAATTTATCGGACAAATCAACTGCCCATCCAAAGCCTTCAATTATGCTTAAACATCTTGATTATTATAATCTTTTGAAGTTGCCATTAATGATAATAAATTTAAACTTAGTAACATGTCCGTACGGGACCTCTTCGTTGCATGAAGTTTTGGAATGTAGGAGTCTCGCATTTGGCATTTTGCTGTGGGCTTAAAGAAGATTTTACCAAATGATACTAAATCACAAGATTGAATACTTTTTCGAAATTAATGTAATTTTTTATTTGAGTCATTTACATACATACCACCCAATCTTTTTAAGAAATATTAAAAAAAAAAAAAAATTAAAGGGGTTATGCATAAAGATCAACCGATCCAATACTCTCGCATGAGTTTGTGTGGTTGATTGTAAGTACGGACAATGACCAGAGCCCCCCAATTATATGGCAAGATAATTTGGATTCACATCTCTTGAAATATCAGTTTTGCCCATCTTATGTTAGCCATTCTCATGTTAGATCTAAGGAGACGGTTTTCCCCATTCAAAAAGGAGGAATTATTACTTTCGGATTCCAGACTTGAGCTGCGTTTGAATATAAAACGTGATACAACCGAGATCCGAGCTTCCCTTCCATCACGTTGTATCACGTTCATTGTCCGGACACAAGCTCTGAACTCGAGACATAATATTTTTTTTACCCCTTCACATTATGATAAATTGCTCATGAGCGTCTTCAATATCTAAACAGGCAAAGCTTAGGTGACAGGACCGTGGGACCCACTCGTGCTGAAACATCGTGGGCCCCGCCACGACGATCGTAATTCACTTCCAGATCACGTCTCGGATTATCATAATCCATTCAATTTTAAGCGGGCCAGTTTTTTTCTTTTTACCCCCTCCGCAGCGCACCGTCACCTAAACCCTGTTCCACGATAAGCCCGGGGCCCACACACCTCGTGGAGTGCATCAGTGGGTGCTGGGTCGGTGCGGGTGGATTTGCCGGCTCGTACTTTAATGTGGATGTAAGGCATCCTGCGTCGTTTCTCCACGTGGCAAATGTCCATTCGTCCATTACGTGGCCGGACCAAAGTCAACAGTTTGAAAGGTCAGGCACGCCGGTGGATGACGTGGCATGATGTAGAACACTGGAACCCACAATTAAAGCGATTTCCACCGTCTGATGTCGGCGTCATACGACGGTTGGCTCGAGGTTTGACGTGGCAGTGCGTTTATCATTATTTTTTTATTTTTTATGCTGACGAAAAGTGACATCGATTGGAAAAAATGGTAATACAGGAAACATGGTTTTGAACGTATGAAGAGGATTTATTTATATGCTTTGGAGACTGTGGCGTGATTTTATTGGTGAATGAGCTGTTCTGTGTTGTGGAGGGTTGGAGATTGAATTGGGCTTTTGAAGGGCTGCGCATGGGCCAAGTGGACCTTTATGGGAAGCGTTTTTACCTCTCAAGATATTGGGTCGCGCTCAATCAATATTTTTATGGATTACAGATAAAAAATTACATACATACCACTAAAACTATATGTATTTATAGATATATATATATATATATATATATA